GTGTTTCTGCTTGTATCACTAAAGAGAATTTAAAAAGCGTCAAAGTCAAAAACTCTTGTTTCTGTAAAGTAAAACTGAGCTGTACCCACCCTTTGGTGCAGCAGTGCTGTTGATGATTAACGTTTACAACCAAGTGATTTGTTTCTTACAATAGCTCATATAGCCCAAGCCAGTGAATAGTCAAACTACTGTAAAGTTGTCTGACTCTGGACCAAATAGTAAATGGTAGCAATTAAGCACCTTCTAGCATAAGTACTTAACAGTTACCGGCATACCTCCCAACATATGTGAACGGTCATACTGGTTATTGTTCAGTAGAGAGGGGGCTTGGAGGACAGTGAACTGGTTTCTATACAGTCCTCTCATAGGAGGAGAACTCAGAACAACTTAGAAAAAAGTATAAAGTGCTTTTTTAATGAAAATTGTCCTGTTGCTGGGAAAAAAGACACATCTGCCCTCATTGTGTTTCTTAAAAAATAAGCATTGTTGAGACAGTTTTGATAATGATTGAATATGTATCTGATGTGTATTTGGTCCCACCGTCTTTGTATCTAGAGATGAGTTATACGTGCACCAATTTGAGTGGACTAGACACGAGCACCATAGAAGCTCTGTAGACATTTATAATAGACATGGTTGTAGGTGCAGTATCCTAGTGGGGGAGTAGCAGCCTAGTGGTTAGGGCACTGCGCTTGGAATCCAGAGGTCCTGAGTCCAAGCCCCACTCCCACAGACTGCCACTCTCTGTTCCTGAGCATAGACCCTTTACCCCAAACTGCTCCCCTGGGTGCCACACAATGGCAGCCCACTGCTCCCCAAGGGGAGAGCTCAATTTCATTATGTGTGAGTTAATTTAATTGCTCTTGTAATTGTGACAGTGTAATGGCAATAAAAGCTGAAAAAAAAGAGACAGCACTGGAAGACAATCACTGGAATTACCGTCATACTTCCAAATTGGCCATGCAGAGTAATTAATAGAATCATGATGAACTGTTGGTGTGTTTGTTGCAGCTAAACAGCTATAAAAAGAATGCCAAAGACTTAGAAAAAGATGCTATGTTCTCCGTTTGCATACAGAAAGACCTGAAGATGGGTAATAGAGCATTTTCTTTTAAATAAAATTCCTAAATATGTTTCTTTGTGTCATTGTCCTTAGCTTTTAATGTGTGTGTGCATGGTTCTATGTCTTTTTTTTTTTTGGTGTTTTGCTCTAGTGACCTGTCCATGGTGTACCCAGCCTTACGCCCATAGAATGCTGGGAATAGACACCGGCCCTACTGTGACCCTGAGCAGGAGAAGATGGACGGTTGCCACCATCAGTGTGTGAGTGTGTGCGTGAATGGGTGAATGACTGAATATAGTGTAAAAGCGCTTTGGTCAAGTCTCCTGACTTGTAAAACAGCGCTATATAAGTACAGGCCATTTACCATTAAAAGAAAAAACACTTATTATGCTGATGGCTTTGCATACTATAAGTGGTTGTTTTTGACTTGATTTATCTTGTAAGTGATGGATACAGAGTGTAAAATCCTTGTTTGTACTTCTGACTGGGCCAATAAACTCACACCTGAAAGTATACCAGTAATTTGCATATGCCTTTTTAAGTCTACTAGAAACTTCTGGGTTATTTGAGGTCAGTACATAAGAACTTATTCAGTGAGGCTTCATTTGAATCCTTCCATTTTTTTATAAGGCTTAAGCACGCAGTTTGCTAGCCTGGGTGCCATTCTGAACTTAGTCCCGCCCACAACGTCTGAGGTCGGGAAGTTCGGTCTGGCATTGCTCAGTAGTAGCGCGAGTATGCTCGCACAATATCTGGCGGGCCAATCAAATTGTCAGGGCGGGCTTTATACGATGATGGACAGATGATCAACAGTAACGTAATCAACCACGTCACCAGAGAGCGCTTGGGTGACAACAACAATGGCTGCCGCTGGAGAGTTGAGGTGTGTAGATTCTGCTATTAGGTCTGTTCTAGAAGATATCGACTGCAAATTAATTTTAAAAGAGGAACAGAGAAAGGCGATCAAGGCTCATCTTCTTATTCTAGGCGTGCAACTGCACGCTTTAATTTTTTGTTGACAACAACTATGTGTCGCTTAACATACGTCACGCACTCCGTTGCTCTTATTGGTTGTAGGTCTACCCAATTGAGTGCAGAGACATTTTTTTTCCTGGTTCGTTCGAAACACGCCCCATAATCACAGCTGTATGGAGCAGTATCAGACTCATATTCTGACTAGAATTGAGTAGGACTACTTCAGGCTAGCAGTTTGCGCCAAGTTACAAAAATTTGGAGGTGAACAACCTTGCACCACTGAAGCTCACCAGCCTTTTGCACAGGGGCGGGAAAAGCACCATTGAATTACCTTTGGCTTGAGCACCCTCACACCCTATTCAATGTGGGGAGTATAAACCTAGCTTTATCCTCCTTGTTAGCATCCTCAGCCAGTCTTGGTCACAAAAATCTGAGATGCAAAAAAAAAAAAGGATCTAAGAGACGAGTGTTTGACCCTCGTAGGCAGGAATGCAACGGCAAAATCAAATGAAGGTAAGATAATATAGAAGTGAAAATTGATAAATAAAATTCTCAATATAACAGAAATAATTGAGATTATTGTTTGCTTTTAGCTAACAAGCCTTGATGTGCATCTGGAACAGGTCATCTCTATGTCATGTATTTGTTCTGCTCAGCCATTAAAGTCCAATCTGCACACTAAATTAACCTGTGCAGACCTCAGTGTTCACTGCTGCAAACTGATCTTCACAGATCAACAGTGAAAAAATATGTAGAAGGCCTTGCATACATGAACTAACCACATTATAACCCACTTTTTTTGAATATTTATGTCAGAATTGTAAAGTTATCTTTGTCAGTCATCTTCATCAAATCAAGCTTATATGCCACCTGGAAGCTGAGCGTTGGAACGGGTTGCAGACATGCATTTTACTCCTCCGAGGTCTCGCAAAATCAATTAGGCTGATTGGTTGCAGTGAAGATCCATTTGCAGCAGTGAACACTGAGGTTTTCTCCACAGTTAACTGAAGACGTATTTGGAGGAAAATGATCAGATGGAATGTGCGTGATCATCACATTGACATATTTTGCTGCTGGTATGTTGTTGACAAGCAGAGACAAACAACAAATCCAGTCATAAAGACTAGGGGAGACAGTGTGACACACTCTCTGCCCCGGTACAGAGCCTGATTTTCTGTTAGACAGTCACAGGAAGATATTTTGCCATGTTCACCAAAACTATAGGTTAGGCTCTTTTCAATGTGTTGTTTGAGAAAATCAGGTCTATCTAATCCTGTTGGTGGGGAGAGCATTGGCTTGCAGATCAAGCCAAATATCACACATTTATGTGTGAGATTTGCACATAATGCACATTTGCACATAATGCACATTCTCTATGTGCATTAGAGAATAACTGTTGCATGGTGATCTTAGACTCTAAATGCTCGTGCATTTAAACATCTCTTTTTGCAGCTGCTTATTGAACCATGCCATTTGATTAGATTTAATAAAGCCGTCGGAATCTGCTCAGTCAGACTGAAATTAACGACATAAGTATTTTTAGGGATACTCAAACCAAGACAGAAACAAATATTTTATTGCTTATGTGACAATGGGAAGTGAAACAGTTATAGCAATGTTAAAAAGGAAACTTATCAGAGTGCAAGGAAATCGAAAATTTGGTCTTTAAGGGAAAAGCTGGCTCGGATGTGTGATTCTGTTGAAAGTTAATAAGCAGTTTTAAGGTTATAAGTAAGCTCTTTTGCTAGTTACTCATCTTGACTGAGGCCCAAACACCGAAGTATATTTTTTCTCTGTATTAAAGAAACCGCATTGTATAAAATGTTATAGTAAAGCATACCAAAACCATTTTATGAATCTTTAATCCATTTTCATGTTAGCATTGGATGGTGACTGACCATTTGGATGGTTGACTATTTATATAAGAAATGGAATTAGGAATTGGTGCAACACTAATCACATTCCTGTGTGAAACATGGAATGTGCGAAGCACTTCCAGTCAGAATAACCTTCTAAACAGAGAGAAAAACAATTAAATAGAATATAGTTTAAAACTTTTGTAATCAGACAATTACTCTGACAGAAAATATATTTTTCTGAATCATTTGTTTTAAAGGAATACACCTAATTGTATGATTAATTTAGGTCAAAACCTTTGCAAGTGTGTTTTTTTTTTTTGCGCATTGTAATTCTAATGCAAAGCAAAAAAAAAAGGTCTGTGTAAATAAATGTCTGAGGAAAACATGACATTGATTTAAATGTTCATAGAGTTGTGTGTTTTAACACTGGAGTTGTTAATGATGGTTGAAGCCCCTTTGGTTCTAGTGACTCTCAGGCTGTTAGTTTCAACCTCTGAGACAAACAATGAAGACAGTTATAAATGAATACATCAAAACAGTCATCTTCTGGGAATAGGCTTACAAGTGCCTATGGCCTTTTAGCAGAAGCTGTCTTGGAGAACCAGTAGTTAAATCTCAGCCAAAACTGTTTTGTTTGTACAATGACATGCAGAACTTTGACATATAATAACTTTTTCATACTCTGTAATTAGTAAGAAAGCATAATTTAAGCATGTGTGTTTGATAGAGAATACTATCCAAGTGAAAACAGAAAGTAAATCCTGAATTGTGTTGAACTGTTTGCACATAAGGTAATGTAATTCAAAGTCAGATAAGTAAATGAGGAACTTTTTGGAAAACTACATGAAACAAGGAATACTTTAAAAGAAGAGAAAGAAATAACATTTTTAAGCTTCTAACCATTTGTAAGCCATAATGTCTAATGAGTCCTGGGATCCTGTGGTAGGGTGCGAAGAAATTAAAGTAGTTTTAAGTAATTGGTCATGTTGGCCTGACGTCCCTCCTTACCAGAGCAGCGATTGGCTCGCTAGGGGTTTAGCCCCGCCCATGGGCGTGACATGCAGCCTGTTGTATGTTGAACCGACGCGTTCTGCGAGCCGTGAATCTAGAGGGTCTCAGTCCACCGGGGTGACAAGGAGGCAGGCAGCGCAACGACGGACGGGACGTCACTGATATTTGTAGAAAAAAAAAAAAATAAATACATTTCATCAAACAACCTCTGGATACCTAACTCGCCCTGGGACTGGATTAATATCAAAGCAACTTTTTTTGGTTTTTCTTTTTAATTTGCTTTGGAAGGCGAGCAGAGCAGAAGACAATGGGATCCCACTCATCCAAGGGAGAGGTGGCCGCGGAGGCGAACGCTGCTGATGCTGCAGCTGTCAAAACCAACGGACAGGTACTTACTACACCTCTTTACACCTTTCCCCTTTTTGCCGTTTTTACGGTAAATGTGGATACAAGTTGCATTTCTCTCATGAAAAAAAAAACCTGTTTGTAAATATTTTTTTTACTTATTGTCGAAATGTTTGGGCAGGACAGGTGGGGGTGTGTGTGAAGGGGGGGGGGGTGTCTGGCACATCCCCCCACCTAAAATAACATTAAAAATATTTACCAGAATAAGAGAAAATGACTCATTTTAATCTACCTAGGGTTTTGAAGTTCATCTGTGCTTATTTATAATTAAAGACTAACGCACCCCCTCCCCTCTCTCTCTCCATTAACGTGTTGAGTCGGGCTGGAATTGGGGGGGGTTGGATGCACGTAGACAGTCTCCTACTCCTCCCTTTTCATATAAACCGAATCTATTTATTTAAACTAAGGCTTAATCTCAAAATAATCCATGCATGGAAGCCCATTTGCTATTTCCTCTCACACACTGTAGTTATGACTGATTATAAATGTTAATTAAACAGGTTCAACAACCTATATGTAAAAACATCGAGCCTTAGTTGTTTATTTGTTTTTTTATATATATATATTTTTTCTTTTGTTTTATGTCAAATGAAATGGATAAGACGACTCAGAAAGACAGTCAGTATTTATGTCTCCTTTTGTCTTTGTTGAGCCGCTGTCTGTCTGCTACAGTCGATGTCTGGTGATGCTTTGCCGCCGCCTATCGGTAGATTAGGGTATTGCAAGGCGTCGCCTCGCAGCCATGCATGGGTTTTTTTTAATCAGGGCCAAAAAATGTAAATATATTAATCAAACAGCTTTTTTGGGACACATAAAGCTATAATTGATTAGTTTTTTCCTTTAAATGAAATATTTCTCATTTATGCTGATATCTTACTATCTTGTCACCTTTAGGAGAATGGACATGTGAAAACTAATGGAGATGTCTCCACAAAACCTGATGGGGAGGCCGCCGCCACCAACGGCTCAGCCGACGCGGCCAAGGAGCCCGAGGCCGGGGCGGAAGGCGACGCAATCGAACCTGCACCTGCCGCAGACGGGGAGGCCGCCAAACCACAAGGCGAGGCTGCCGCCAAGGAGACCCCCAAGAAGAAGAAGAAGAAGTTCTCCCTGAAGAAGTCCTTCAACCTCAAGCTGAACCTGAAGAAGAGCAAGAAGAGCGAGGCTGTAAAGGAGGAGGCCGGAGCCGCCGCCGCTGACCCCGCCACCTCTGAGGAGAAGCCTGCCGAAAACGGGGCTGCCGCTCCAGCGGAGGAGAAGAAAGAGGAGGTGAAAGAGGAGGCTCCTGCTGCGGCCGAGGCTCCGAAGGCAGAGGAGGGGGCAGCTAAGGAGGAGGCACCTAAAGAGGAGGCTAAGGAGGCAGCTGCTCCAGCCCCTGAGGCTGCCAAACCGACAGAGGAGAGCAACTCGACCCCCGCTCCCTCTGAAAAGAAAGAGTGATTGTACCTTGAGCTCACGATGAACTGGGTGAACTGTTTTTCAAGAGAGAGAAAGAAAATTTAAGAGTATATATATATTTATATATATATGTGTATATGTATACATATGTATATGGATATATGTATATGTAAATATATACACATGTATGTGAAAGACTCCTTCGACGTGCCACTTTTTCGTCATGATAACAAGACGACAGACTAGATTCACTAGATCACCTCCCTGGTTACAGCTCAACATCTGGACGTGGACTGGGTTTTTAGGCAGTGGGTTGGTCGCCCGTTTGGAGCAACTGGATTTAACCGGCCAAAACCGCGAAGCAGGAGCCGCGTACGATGGACGCAGAAAGATGGAGCTGAGGCGTCTTTTCCTTAAACATCCACACAGCTGAAGATGCCTCCTCGATGAAGGAATCATACTGGGACACCACCACCACTTGAAATGACTGTTAAATAGAAGAAGAAGAAAAAAAATGTGAAATCAGAAAAATTAAAGAGACTCGTCAACTTTTTACATTCCTATATTTTAACCCAAATTTGAAGTATTTTGTGGTGTATTATAGAAAAACCATCTTAAAGATACAGAGAAGCTACGTCTTGTTTGTTAAAAGCAAAGAAAATAGACAGTTTTTGATTTTTACCGTACTATGGAAGAAAAAAAAAAGAACACTTAAGCTTGCTATGTTCACTGTTGCGGTTTGATATGATGCAGAGTTGTTTATCTGTCGTGTGTGAGCCTGAATCTGCTTTGTCTCTGTAAATACGTTGGATTGATTTCTGTTCTTTATTTTGCTAATGTTGACAGATGTTACTGGTTTTATTGTAAAGTTGATAATGGTAAATAAATGTTGGGTACCTGCCTGTCCACGTGTCTGTACGGTTATTTACGCCAATCTCCCTACATTTTCAGGACCAGCTGCATTACGGTAATCTGAAGAGGCCTCTGATTCCCTGTTACCCACCTGGTAACCAAACATCATAATAAAGAACTTAATTAGTTTATGCTTAATCTGGGATCTTCTTAAGTTTAATAAGATCCAAAACTTTATGCAAGAAATTTGAGACCCACATGATTGGAATAAGCACATATCTATAATTTCTGCTAGTTTAGACCTGCACATGCATATATTTGAGCATAAATGCATCTAATATTCAGGATGTATTTATTGGAAACTGCTGAAGATGTATATAAAAGCTTAAAATGCCTGCCTCTTGGGTGGGAAAATCTTTGAGAGATAGAGAAATCAGCAGTGTTAAGATTAATATCTAGCAATCATTGGTAATGGTATTCCTGGAATTTTTGAAATGAGAAATCTCCCTGAAAGCAAAGCGAAACGTCTTCAAACTTCGAAAGTCCAGTGGATTATTTTTAACTTTTTTTGGAATGACTATGACCTGGATGACTGAGAATCTTCACCAACATATCTAGCGAAGACATGTTTTTTTTTTTTAGCCATAAGTGTTAAATTCTTATCCAAAAAGAAAGTTTAAATAAGCTGTAAGAAAGTAGAGAGAACGACGGTTTCAGTAAAACTATTTCTTTACACTCAATAATATCACAAGATCCCCAAGGTCTTACAAGCAGGGCCGGTTTATTATAGAACCTTTTTATTGGCTAGACAATTCAAAGTGCTGTACATCAGAAAGGGGAAAAGAAAAGTACACAGCAGGAGCATAGAGGCAAGACAAATAGAGTGAGTAAAAGAGACACATTAAAACAATAAAGATAAAATGAGTGACATTAAAAAAGGCAGAGGAACAAGCCCACAGCATCATAGATTTCCTTGCAGCAAAGTGGAGCAAACTGCATTTTTAACTTTGTGCTAGTTGGAAAGAAAACTATCTGGGATTCAGGGGTGGATTTGTTCGGCTGGTTGGGGGCTCGTCCGGGAAGCCCAGCGGACGGGTGCAGGGAGCTAGGGGGAAAGGAGCGACCGAATCTGACCCAGTGACGGTAGCCTGGACACCTGTGGCCCCCAACCTGCCTTACAGCCCTCCTTCCTCCAGTTGAGGACGGGCGGTTCATGGCTCTCTGCTGAGGTCCAGTCCAGTCAGCGGCCCAGCAGTCGACACTTCATACCCCCCACACACACACAAACTGTAACACAGCCTGCAAATGCTATCAGTCTTAGAATCAGAGTTCCAATCTGTAAATATTGGAAGGTTAATCTAAAATCACATTGGAATTAATAAATAATTCAAGAAAAAAAAAAAAAACACTGAACACACATTTCTCTTGGATTGCACCAGAGCAATTTGTAGTTTTGTTGTGCATGGGCCATGTGAACGGTCATTCCTTATCCCCGGACTGAGTTCCCTCACAGAACTGTAAATGCTTGGAAGCTGAAACTGCAATCCTCCTCCTCTGTTCAGTGATGTTTTTTCTGTTTTCACAAATATGCTTCCTTCAGCCGTATTTTAAACCATCTGTCCTCTCTGTCACCAATCTGAACACTTTGATCTTTAGTGATGTGCAGATGTGTGTGGATCTCCATGCTACATAAATACGTCAGCACTCCAACTAGAGATTGCTCTGGTGCGAGCCAACAGAACTGACAGAGACTCCAGGATAGGAGTCAAAATGTCTTTGCACTAGTACCATTCAGTTTCATTATTATACTAAGGCTTATTTTCCAATCACTGAATATAGTCAGGGGGCTGCACATTGGTGCAGTGATTAGCACTGCTTCCTTACAGCAAGAAGGTTCCGGGTTTGATTCCCAGTGCATGGAGTTTGGATGTTCTCTCTGGGTACTTTGACTCCCTCTCACAGTCCAAAAAAATGACTGTAAGGTCTAAATTCTCCTTAGGTGTGAGAGTGTGTGGCTGCATGGTTGTTTGTCCTGTGTGTCTGTGTTGCCATGCGATGGACTGACGACCTGTCAAGGGTGGACCCTGCTTTCGCCCATTTACAGCTGGAGATAGGCACCAGCAC